GCTGAGCCCCCCCAGCTCCCTCAGTCGCTCCTGGTGCTCTAGACCCTTCCCCAGCTCCTTTCTCTTCTCTGGACACAGTCCAGCACCTCAGTGTTTCTCTTGCTGGGAGGGGCCACAGAATTGGACACAGCACATGAGGTGGGGCCTCACCAGTGCCAAGCACAGGGGGACAGTCACTGCCCTGGTCCTGACTGTCTCTCTGCGCTTGCTTACAGAGGTTTTGTCCTATTAAGCTTATTTAATTTCTAGTTATGATTTATTTGCAGTCACAGGAGCCCCACCTTGGCCTGGCACATTACCTGAAGGAGGCCCAGGTTGGAGGGGGCACTGCGGTGCTGGTCTGGTTTGCAGGAACAGTGCAATCCAAATGGACTCATATGAGCCATGAAAACCATTGTTAGAGTCACCTTGATGTTGAATAGCACAAATCCCTTGCTGCAGAGTCTCTTTTGGCAAACTCTGGTCCTCCATGAGTCTCTGTTATAACAAAGGACACTTGGGGGAGAATGTATATTGGAAATGTGTTAGGTAACCACAAAAAACCTGAACATGAGTCAGAGCTGAGAGAGCTAAATTATACTCACCTTGCCTTTGACTTCAGCACACTTCAAAATGGTTTTTATTTTACCCTACATTCCCCCACTGTCCCTAAATGGGATCTGTGAATAATCAGTAACAGTACTTAAATTGTACTTAAATGTTTTTGCACAACTCAAAATACCTCCCAATTTAGGTATTACTAACAAATATCTTCAGCCTAAAGATCATCTCAGCAAAGGATTGTGGCTTTCAGAATGGAATACACTCCAAAATGTCTTTGCTCAGCAAAGAAAAGGAAGAATCAAAAGATATTTAAGGCATTTATTGACGTCAGCCTGTCTTAATAGTGTGCAACAGAACCAACCCATTGGGTCCAAATCGTGTCCATTTAATTCTTAGCACAGATGAAAAATACAGAACAGCTCCAGCCAAATGATGGTTTCTTGGAGCAGGCAGCCCACACACGGCAGACTCTGAGTCATTCTGAAGAGTTTTCCTCACCCATCTTTGTAAATGCTGAAGCCAAGGAGAGCATTTTCATTCTGTAACTGTCAGCTGTAAATCCCTCCATAGTTTAAGATCCCATCTTTTTCTCCACATTTGATTTCCTGAGCCCTCTCTGAGTACTACCACGACAAAAGGCGACAAATCTGTTGTTTTCTTTTACTAATATGAACTCAATAAAATATACAAAAGCTTTTAGTTTTTTCAATTTTTGTATAGATTAAATCTTCCTGAATAAAAAAACAAACCAGTTAATCTCCTCTCAGCACCCAGTGCCTGTTAATGAGCTGATGGAAACCCTCCAGTTGATGGGCACTAGTTTTGGCTGTCCTGTTATCACATGCAGTGCACACATGTCCATACAATTTCCCTGTCATCCCCCTCACAAGGGATTAAATTTGAATGGCTTGAACTAGCAGGAATCATGGTCAAGGTATGAGTTTGTAGTTGCTTCTAACGCACTGAAAAGCTCAGAGACCAGAGTGAGGGTAGAGGCAACATTCCTGTCTCTACCATCAACCCCTTATAGCTTTTTCTTGAATAAAAACACACTTTCAAAATCCTTTCAAAGACCCAAACAGTGATTTTGTCTTCCTCCTAAGTCAGAGAAAAAAAGCAAGAACCAGCATAGTGCCCACCTCTGAACACAATGTTTCATGCTCCTCTCTACCCTCCCAAGCTCACTTTTTCCTTTATCTATTTACCTTCTGTACTTTCTGTTTAGATGACATTTCTCAGGCACTTGAGCATCTCCCAGCTGGGATCACTGCATCCTCTGTCAGGAGGAGCTGTTAACCCTCCTTGCTGTGGGCAAAGCAGTTCCAGCACTTGCCTGCAGTGGCACAAGCCACCTCAGACTCACTTCCCAATTAGTGGAGAGCTAATCAATACCTACCTTTGCCCAGCTGAATTAGGCCCTCTAAGTGCTCATTTCTCTTCACTGACTGTAAGAGGACACCTCTCTGACTGGTTCATCTGCACTAGAGGCACATAAATCCAACAAAGATATAACCTACCCAGGAAATGTGTTGTTGAGTCAGACCTAACCTAGGGAAGATAATCCTTCCTATTTAATCCTTTCCCTGAAGGCACATGAATGTGAAGCACGTCAAGGAAGCAGGGGACAGAAGTGATACAGCCATATCAGAGTTTCCTTTATCATTTTCCATACCTATCAGATTAAATGTTTGCAAAGCTGCCTTTGAACTCTAGCAAACAGCTTCCTTATATATCCAGATGCAAATATCACTGTTTGTTAAGTGGGCTCTAAATGGATTTCATAGTTCAGCCCAAAGCTGCCACACAGGAGCACAGTAAAGCTAAAGCCCCAGCTGGAGTTTTCTGTGTTGCAGAAAGAAGAGCAGAGCAGGATCACTCAGTCACCTTATGTGCAGTGACAGCAGCCTGTCCTCCTGCCAGAGAAAAACAAGAGGAGTCAAGCCAGACTGCAGTGTGAAGAGGGAAGCCTGTCACACAGAGAGAAGACATCTGGGATGCTCCCTGAGAAACGTATAACAACTGGGCAGGCCCACAGAAAACCTCCCTTGCCATGGCAGTTGAACAACAGACTGCCCAAAACAAACAAAATGCAGAGACCGGGAAGCTCAGACACAAAAGATCACATCCCTTTACGATCTGGAAGCTGTACTCCCCGGTGTGTCCCCGTGTCCCCTGAGCTGGGGGCGGTCAGGCACAGCCAGGTC